AAATGTATTATTTCACAATTTTTATTTTCCATAAAAATCAGCAGTGTGCTCATTATACTACATGTTATATCTATCTACACACTCTGCATATGTTGCATATTTTTCATGTATAAATGTCATATACATTTCACTGGTTTGAATCGTTTAATGTAAACAAAGAATGAATTTGAAACAATAAAGCACGAAAAAGGGAACGTGTGTAACTACGAACAAAAATTAGAGTAATGTCGCGGAACTTGTTTCAACTTTAATATAGATATCAAGCTAGAAGATGAAGATTTCATTTATTTCTTGTTCTGGCTGCGAATGGCAACTGAAACGCGAGCTAGCGTTCGCGATGCACCGTCATGTTCGATTCCCTCGGCGAAGGTTGCACCTCCTGCAATAAACATTCTATAGCAACGGTAATTAGATTGCTCCCCGACACTCACCGTGAAACGGAATTTTTACTATTTTGATCCGTTATCGGTCCGCGAATCAAATAATCCCGCCGCGCCGTTTCCACCGACCGCCTCGTTATCCCTCAGAAAGTTCCCCATTGCGAATCGAATCGCAGAAACGGAAACAAAAATACCATGATGCAGTTCTAATTGCGTGAGCGCCAATATCTCGCCCCCTGCAACGGCAACGTAATTTCATTTTTCGAGGAAACTTTCATGATTTTCATCGCCTGAATCCGCTATTTAGAATAATTCGTGAAAGAAGAATTTGCATATTTTTTTGCGACACCGGTATAAGTAAACTTTCCCGAATGAGAAATATTTTAAAGTTAAATTCGGAGTTTTAGATTGACATGAAAAAAGATTCAACCCGATACGATGAATATTTCGCGCGATAAAAATTCGCGGAGTTCTACTTAGAATGAGGAGAATTTTTGAAAATAGATCACTCACATTTTTGGAAAATGCCAGTTATTTTTTTGAAACTGTTGCTTCATTGGTCCACAGCAAGGTTAATACATAGGATGTCCCAGTTTCCCAGGCATGTACCGTCGCTGTATTCTATGCGCATAAATACTTGAAAAGGTTACGTAGATGCAGCTCGTTCGAAGCTTTATTAAAGTTATAATGAAAATACGAAATACGAAGGTCCTGCCGCAGTTGCCGCACTACAAAGTAGAAATGGATTAACGATATTTACATCCGGTCTGTATACACGAGCTGTTTGCCGCCCCGAGGTTGCTTAAGATACCGAATGTTACATCTGCCGGTGCAATTACGAACTTGAGTTTGATATCGCAAATATAATTAGCTGCTTCTTCGTATTTCCGTAAAACTTTTAATAACCCTCCCGGGGCGACCTACTTCCATTCCCAATTTTTCTTCTTATTAGCATCTAGAAGAAGACATACAAAGCTGAGAAAAATTGGGAGGCCTTGTATAAATACGTAACTACAAAGTTCCCGGAGCTCCGACGTGTCTAGCTCTCGTTCCAGTAAATTAAGAAACGAACATTAATTACGCGAAGCCAGAGTTTCAAGCTTTTCTTGTTTGCGTTGTTATCACCACGATTATTATTCTAATCGCGACCAACCCAATTCCATCAGCGCAACAGAGGATTATACAGACTGTTTCACAACATCTAACCGCAACTAAATCCACCGGCGCACACAGAAATGTCCACTAAATGTCACATGAAAGCGTTCGACTCGCGAACGGACGTTTCCAATGTACTACATACACAACGTGCATTAATCGGTTCCCAGTTAATGAGGTCGGATCCTGGAAAACAAGGTCGCGGACTGCCTCTCGTAGGTCCTGGACGCTTCTGTATCCTTGATAACTCTTTGGTATCAAAGATGACATTGAAATGGTCCGGACGCTTCATTTTAAAAGACAGAAATAATATCGCCACCTGAAGAGAAACTTTTTCATAGGAAACGATTTAATGAATATTTCGGTACAAGCACAAATTGCACGTGTTCAAGTATCTAGATTCATTTTTATGAATTTATTTTCATCGTTGGCCTTTTTGTTCAAAAAGTAACATTGAAATGGCCCGAACGCTTCGTTTTAAAAAAGACAGAAATAATATCGCCACCACCCCTGAACAAAAATTTTGTCATCGAAAACGATTTAATCAATATTTCAGTTCAAGCATAAATTGCACGTGTGAAGTATCCATATTCATTTTTATGTATTTTCTTTCATTATTGACCTATTTGTTAAAAAGTGGCATTAAAATGGCCCGAACGCTTCATTTTAAAGAAGTCATTACCTGAAGAAAGGTATTAACATTAAATCTACCGATCTGTCACGTTCTTCATTTCAAAATTGTCGAATTTATGAAGATTTTTATAGAAAAGTCTCAAAATTTTAATGCAAGCATACAATATAATAATTTTGTTCCGACAATCCAATAAATTAAATTAATTTAAAAGGAATCGGGGTGAAAATCTTGTCACTTTTACAGTGAAATATAGAAGTCCCGAAATTGTTCCAAGACTAAAAGCAACGCGATTAAATCCCCCAAAGCACCAAATAGCCGCCGGCGACCGGCATAAGCGTCGACACACAGGGGGAGAAGTCGCGAACGATGGTACACGTTTTAGCCGATTGTTAACCAAGCCACGAACAGAGTTCGCCTCCGCGACAAATTGGTCCTCTTCCTATTGCGGTGTCCGCCTTGTGTGATATTATTTGAAAAAAATCTCCATTTCGTAGCACCATGGATCGGCCGTGGATCGCGCCGAGATCACGGGGATCGATAAAGGGGGGGTGGTGAAGACGTCGAAGGGGTCACAGTGTTCTGCTCCGAAAGGAAACGCTTTGCCGGAGGAAATACACGCTCCGCTCTGTTTCCGTACGCACATGCGTGACAGACACGCAACCGTGCACGCGTACGGTACTAACCTTACCCCAACAGGAATTCTTTGCAGCACGCGCGACGTGTTCCTCGTCTTCGTCGCCGTCAAGTGCTTCTTCGAGGATTACTCCGATCTTTTTATCCCATTTTTTCCTCCTCCACCTTCGCTTTTCCTGGTAATTGTTGGTGCTGCTGTCACGGCAAATGGCGACCCCGGTCCTGGAAGGGCTGGTGGTGCACCTTGAGTTCATTAGCTCGGAAATGTTCGCGATAAGTCTCCTCGGTTGGCGTGTTTAAAACATTATTCGTGGTCTCGAAGATCTTCGGAAAAAATTCATCGAGTGGAAGGGAAAAAATTGTTGTTAACGCTTCGTCTCCAACGAACGTGACAAAAGAGAATTTTTAATCATTCAACGTTATTTTAACTGAAGAAGTTAAACGACACATTTTAATAATTTTTAATAAAAATTATTTCCTGTGTTCTACGTTTTCCACGCAATCACTTGTTGCTACAGACGTGACAAAATTAATCCGGTGAATTAAATAATACAGAGTATTGGTAAAAGCAGCGTTAAATTGGTATTTCGAGTTTTATACGTGTATTGTAAATACGAGATGTACCGGACAAACATCCGAGTTCGACATCGGAACATAAAGAATTAATACAGTTTACAACGGTCGCAATTAAAATTAATACGATCGATCCATCTCTCCCTTTGATAAGCACGCCGGCATCGACGAGGCGAGGCGTGGATAATCGCTAGCTAGCAATTCAATTTATTGAGCCAATTCAATATATTGTTTACCATATCGAACACGTGCCAGCGATATTACAGGAACGGTTTAATTGCCATTTATTAAGCAGCGCAAATTACATTCTTCTAACCGGGGGACTGCAATAAACGCATGAAATGAACTTCGCTACGTCCGTGCTTCGGAATCAATTGAAACATTTACTTCCGTTCTTCCGTACGTACGTCGATTTTAATATTTACCTCTGCAAATAATTACTAACATCCTTATCTCTTCGAGTAAGCGAGTGTCATTAAATGTGCAACACCGTTAGGGAAATACGATTACGCGTGTCGCTTTATTTATTCGTACGCTGAAGAGTGTCCTTAAAAGGCTCCACGCCGTTGCGAACGAAGGGAAATACATATTTGTGTAAAATCGAAACTTCCAGCGACAGCATAATTCCATCATCGCACCATCGAAATAATTAAACGGCTATAAAATGGTAACGAGAGGACTTCTTTACATCTGTGAATCTTCGCTTCTGTTTTATATACCAAAAATAATGTTTAATTATTACGTTATAACCATTGTATTCTATTAATTTAAATAGTATTACGAGATTGTGTAGCCAGCTATTTATTTATATAGTATACAACGCGTAATACTTTTTTTTATTTAACACAGAAATTATTTTTTAGTAGTATATTAGTAGCTTATATCATTTGAACGCTGTTGTTAACAAAATGTTTAACATTTTACTGCTATTTACAAGATAGACAGAGGTACCTAACTCCTTCCAAGAAGAAGCAACGGACTTAAAATAAAGCTTTTCGACGTTAAGAAATTTTAATATTAGATTAAGTCCCAGAGAGATTAAGTCGCATAACCTACTATTAATTCTGTGGTAGCAAGGAAGAACACTGCATATATCACGTGCTACCACTTTCGAGATATTATCGCTTAAAATTCTAATCACCAGTTCTTCGTACTAGTACCATTTCCTTGTCTTTTATTTTTTGTTTACTTTTCTGAGCCAATCGAATTCGTTTCCAAGACCTTTCTTCATAAATACGCGAATCATACATCGCACAATTCGAGTAATCCATAACGTTGGATTCGACGAAATTCGGAGACGCGTCGTTTTTCCTTAGAGGCGCAAAATTGTGGCCAACTTTTTGGTAGAAGGTATTACTGGTGCGACGCGTTACGGCCGTCGAGGGTTAATTATATTTAGTATCGGCCGCGTGTTTCTCGCGTTTGGAGGAACAAACAGCCCTCGGAACCCCTCCATTAGAAGACGGTTCGGCGGGGCCCTTCTTGTTTATCTCGAAATAACGCTGCCGGCGCACATGGGCGTTTCTTCGGGCACTGCCAGATGCGTGGGTGGTGGCAGTGAAGAGAAGAGAAGGAGAGCACGAATGACGGTCACATGGCATCGTCGCGGGCTCCTCTTCTGTCCTGACTTGTCAGTATTCCGTGAAGTGTTGGGCCGTGTATGCGCGCCGGTCCTCCTTCCGCCGCAACCCTAACTCGCTAGAGAAACACGAGGCGCCCCCTCGATCGCGGAAATCATTCGACAACGATCCTCCGGCTAGATCGTTCTTCCAACTCGCCGACTTCGTCGTCGGCGTCGCACCTGGGTAACACCTCCGTCGAACTAAAAATACAAGGACGAATTTAACCAACGGTTTACGAGCGTTCGAAGACAAAGAAAATTTCTTCGGGAACTATAGGACACGATCTCAAGGTTGTGTCGCGACGTTTGGTCTCGTTCGGAGCTGTTGACGGAAGACCGAGGAACTTCAGATGTGCCTGGTTCGGTTTTGTTTCGCGGACTCGAAGACTTCGGTCCCCGAAGGGATTTTATTACCTTTTATCGCGTGTGGACGATCGTTTCAGGCCGATCGAATAATCGAGGTGACTTCGAAGTGCGCGTTACTGTCGCCGAAGTTGTCGCTTCCGAGAGCGCGGGGAGCCACTGTGAACTTCCAGGGACGGATTTTTCCCTCGGCGGTGCTTGCGATCGGCGGAGAAAGTCGAAACATCGGCAGCTAGAAGTTTTAGCCACGCTTTCGCGCGAAGAAGAAAGTTCAAAATAGATCTCGGAGGTCCTTGGAACGATCCCGAATCGGCTTCGATTCGACGTTTATAAACATTTACCAACAGTTGTTTGAAAGGCGGTTTATAATTGTCTAAAGATAGATTCTGGCTTCTCGGAGTCAAAGGAGCACCAATTCGAAATCAGTTCTCGCGGTAAACACAGTGATACGCAATATTTTTCTGCGGCCCGACGAGGGATCAAGAGGCGAAGCAGAGGCTGATGGGAACGTTTGATGCCCGAACCCGTGCAGCGTCGAAGGGGCAGAAAAAGAAGACGATCTTGCGAAGGGCAACGAACAATGCAACCCTTGATGCTCTCTCGCCGCGAAGAAGCAAAAACTTCCGCGATGCTGAGTGTTATTTCCTGCGAAACGCTTTGACTTAATCGCGCGACCGAGACCCGCTGATTGATCGCCGGTCGTGGCCCCGGCAACTGTTACTCGGGGAAATAAAAGAGACGGGCCAAAACTATCGCCGGGAAAATTTACGGAAGATTTAAGATCGTTACGTGGCCGAGGATTTATCGGCAACTCGAGGAGAACCGAGGAAGAATGAGTTGCTCGAGCTACTCGGACGAATCGCTCCCGTAGGATCGCTGAGGTAAGCGAATCGACTTTGTTATCGGTCCATCTCTCATGTTTACGGAATACTTTACGAAGCTCGTCATTCGCCGTAGCTTCGTATTTAGAATAATACGTCAACGTCTAAAATCGTACGAATTCTCTAGGATTTATTTTCTTCGCGAATCACTCGGTATGCTTCCGACGCGGTTCCCGCCATTTTCTTTCTCAGACGCGAGAGATCAACACCGAACCCATCGATCTCCCTTAAATCGACCGATCTGTGCTGTTTCGCGACGCAAAAGACACATTCGGCCTCTTCGCCATTTTTATTACGGCGTATGCTTCTATTTAAAAAAAGTCGTTCAACTATCCCCAGCGAAAGTGGCTTCGCAATTTCAACAATTTTAAAAGCAATAAAGTGAAACCGCGGTTACTTGGACCGTGGTTTTAGTGTCGACCTCCTCGAGTCTCGGAATTATTTGAAAATATCGCTTGGTTATTACTCATCCGTGAATTTATTGGTTATTGCTAGCCTTGATGATTTTAATAAACCCGTGCTCGCATAATTCCGGCGATCTGCTTTCAAAGAAAACGCACGACGAACGTTAATATCTGTTCATCGGAATTCCTCCGACTCTGAATGATTACCGTAAGACGGCTTTATTTTCGTCGGTGCCGGGCAACGAGAAATATGTATGTGTTCCACGAAATTAGAGCATAATTTGGTTTGGACGGAAGAATGTTCGCGAGGAACGCTGAGCACGTGGACGGTCAGCTGATCGGGTAACTGTCGCTTTTCGGAAAGAGCAGCTATGTCTTCTCCCAACGGTCCGTCGATTTTCTTGCAAATCTTTTGTTCCCGGTCTAAATATATTTCGGTATTAAGCTCGGTGAAGGGGTTTTTGTTTTCCTAATTAGTGTATTTTATATGGTTGTTGGACGCAGAATTGGACAAACTTTCATTCGGATCACGGATAAGAGATAAAGGCTAACGAATAAAATTTTATTCGATACAGTTTTAACATTTTATTATTATTAAAATTTTATCCGATTAAGATTTTATTATAAGAATTATAAACAAAGACTTATTCGAGTAAATAGATAGAATAATTTCTGACGAATAATGAATAATTGTTACTCGAATGAAATATTCGACTGGAGAATATTCATTCGGATAATTATCTCAGATAAATATTTATACGAAACAATTCGAATAATTCCCAACTATGATTTGATAGTGTTAGAATATTAGGTCGAATATATTTTAAATTCTTAACTATATATAAAACAGATGTCACTGGTCATAGGTTTACCTTATCGGAATAGATTCACAGTTACTTCTATCCTAACACACAGAATACTGATTTAACAATCCCTAAAAATTGCTATGCCATGTTCCAAAGTCATTTTCACATTATCAAATTCATTTATATCTTAAAAAAAAACTATTAAAAATGTAAACACTGTAGGATCCAATAGACTCAATTTCATATGCATAAAATGCACTAATTAAGTAAATCATATAAAGTGGAAATAAGAATAATAATAAATATTATATATAATAAATCATTAAAACGAGTTTTAATTTACAGTTAAAATGGCCCCAAATACAAAGGCTTAAGAATACTAAAAAAGTAATTAAGATGTCATTAATTTTTCAAGCTCCCACCTTATTTCGTCGATTATGCGAATTCAGTCGCGACAATGTCGATGAAGAATTGAAAATAGATCCGAAAATTGGCTTGTTTTAAAACGAAGTGAAACTCGGGAGCCTTGAGTCTCGAGTGGAACGCGGTATTTTTCGCGCGTATTCGTTGCACTGCCCGTTAAGGCGTCCACGAGCCGAGAAAACCGTACGGATATTCCATTAGGAATTAGCCGAGCGGCCCACCGTGTATATTAATAGATCGAACCTGACAGCCGAACCTAACCAGACGCACGGGCGTTAAGCGCGAAATCGTTCCCTCGAGTTTTCGTTTCGGACTTTCAAACTCCGACCTCGACGCGAGTCCTATTTTTGCGTGCCGCGCACTCCCCTTTTCTTTTTTGCTTCGCCTCTCGCACATCGCCAACTGTAATAACGAGACTGTCCGCCGGCTTTTCGTCGGAACAGCCACCAGCTCCCTTCATTTTTCTCTGCAATTTTTCTCGCTTCCGATCGATACGGGTGCCAGGTACACTGCGTTTTCGTTCGACTATTGCCAGATTCGAAAATTGGGCGAGCACAGCTGCTCTTCGAAATCGCTGCTAAATGAAAGGAATTTTGCTGAGGGGGACTGCAAGTCAGAAAATTGAGGGATTTTTGTTGGAAACCGACGGAATTTGCAATCGAGTACAAAGTCGGGTATTATTCGAATTATTTATTTATTATTCGAATAAATATTTATCTTAAATAGTTGGCTAAATGAATGCTTTTTAGTTGATATAGTTCTCTATTTTATCTACTTATTCGAATAATTCTTTATTCTATTTATTTGAATAAGTTCTTCGAGCAGACATTGCAAAATTATTCGAATAATAATGCGAATAATTGTCGACTGCTTTTGCCTGACCCGATTCCGAACGCCGTTCCATCAGAAACAATGGCGCATCGGGTAGAAATGTTATTTTCCAGCAGAGATTGTAACGATAACTGAAATTGTATCGGGAGACCTTGATGAGAGGGTCGTCCGATCTCACGTGCATGTGCAGTCCTTTGATCCGCAACGACGGTGCCATAAGCGCCGATCTGTTGCATAAGCGGCGAACAATGCGTTTCGAAATGCGTGTCGCGTGCGATTCGAAAGGTTACCGATGTATCGCTATCAAATCGATTTTCGGTACCGACGCGTCTGATCGGAATCGTTGATTTATCGTTATTATTTATTGTACACGGATAGTAATTCCGTTGGTCTTACCAATGGCGCGAATTAAATCGACAAAGATAATAGAAAAAAATACACAAAGGGAGAAGGAAGGAATACCAGAAAAGGGAACAATACATTATACAATTATTAGAGGTGCGTGCGGTACAATAGATTTTTTTATTTGCCCGCTCGAGTTTGGAGGGAAGTCTAAAGAACCTGTTAAATACGAATATTATCCTGTTTTTTAAAGTCGGAATAATATTCTGCTGTTTCGTCGTTAACCTGTAGAGGGCCAGCAAAATTTCCTCACATAAGTCAGTAGTTTCATTCTAAAAATTATTATATGCATATGTGAAGTATTTCTTTCAGAGAAATAATATGCTAATTATTATTTTATACTATTATACTATTTTATTATTTTATATTATTATACTATTTTATACTACATTTTTGTTCATAATTCTTATTTGTAATATTAAGAAAAATTGTAAAAAAGCAACGTTTTCCATACACTTGCTTCTACTCGATCGAACTTGGACTTCGGTTGTTCATTGTTGATGTGCAAAGAACAATTTTTCACGTATATACAAGGTGTTCGAAAAATCTTCGTACAACTGGCAAAATGATTCCTCACGTAAAACTGAGTCGACAATATAGAATACAATTTTTTCATACAGGACATTATTTCCAAGAAAATCAAATTTGACAATTCGTTAAGTACGCGTGCACTTAGATGCAATAGAGTTTGACGAGCGAAGCAAACTGAATTTAAATGCACGCGTACCTAACGTATCTTCAAACTCGATTCTCTCGGAAATGAAGCCCTGTACGACGAAATTAAATTCTATATTTTTATATTCTATGAACAGAAATGTTGCCGGTTCTACGAGGAAATTATTCCATCCGAGAGATATAACGGTTTAAGAGATACGATATTATCTCTAATTGGCCTGATCGCGAAGATAGGGCTTAAACGTGGCGAAAAGTGAGGATTCCCCTTTGTGGGCGAACAAAGTGGCGCACGAGCCACAGATAAAGGGAGGAAGCGAGGTCACTCCGAGGGCCACGGTTCGCTGATTTCCGGATCGGCTTAATTTACGTGTCTCATGTTAATGAGCGAGCCGCACATTCAAAAGAACGAGCCGTGCACGCGTCCGCTTTTTGCGCTTTTTACGCGTGCACGACTGTCGGAGGGGTGGCACGCGCATATCGGCCAGGATGCATACTTTTTCCTTCCTTTTTTGCCTCCGGTCTGCTCCGGTACACTTACGCGCCTCGTGAAAAAAAGAAAGGGCAGGTGCATCTCGGCCGAGTTAAACGCGGTTCGGGTTGACCCACCGTCGCGGTGAACTTCTTTCTCACCTTGAGGCAGAAATAGAACGGCCGAAGAAACGTTTCGACTGCTTTGCATGCGAATCCGTTTTACGGAAATCCCGGCCTGTCTCGAGCCGCCGTTTTCTGCTATTCAAACGGCGCTAGGGACCCTCTTCGATGACGAATTCGAATGTGAAATTGTGCCATTTTTATCTCATTCGAATCGCAGAGGAATCGCGAATCAAATCTGGGAAATATTCATGAAAGATGATTCGCGAAGAATTTTTAGCTCGGGAACAGTGAAAAGAAAAAGTAGGGCAGAATACGGTGGCTCACGAAAGTGTTTTTACACCGTTCAGCCAGTTAGCTGTTGTAGTCCCATTGAAAGGTGTAAAAATTACTGTAATTATATAACAATTATGAAACATGTCTCGTTTAAATGCAACACTTTTATAAATTATATTTAATAAGGAATAATTTTTAATTTAATAGAGAATATACCTAACTAGCTAATTAGGTACCTAATTATATTAGGTATATTAGGAATATACCTTAATTAGAATTTTTCTTTTATAGAAGTGTTGTACTTAAAGAAGTCATGTTTTAACCAATTAGCAAATTGGCTAAAACGGAATAACTTCTTTCAAATGGGATCATTTTGAATTCTTTTTAAGATGTTAATGGGACCAGTTTACCAGACAATGCAAACACATTGTTTTATTTTGCTGATAATTGTGATTACAAAAGAAAAATAAATACTCGCGTATTTTACTAACCCCTCCGACATTTAAAAAAACAAAGTAGTATGTCATTAGGTCAAAATTTGCAAGAAGTCGATTCGTCTTAAGCAGCGTTCGAACGCTTTCGTTAAACGCCC